AGTTAACATTAGTTAATTATTTGATTACAGTTAACATTAGTTTATAATTTGATTACACCTAACATTACTTCATTATTTGATTAGAGTTAACATTAGTTCATTATTTGATTACGGTTAACATTAGTTTATTGTTTGATTACATTTAGCATTAGTTTATTAGTTGATTACAGTTAACATTAATTTATTATTTGATTACAGTTAACATTAGTTTCTTGTTTGATTACAGTCAACATTAGTTTATTATTTGATTACAGTTAGCATTAGTTCATCATTTGATTACAGTTAACATTAGTTTATTATTTGATTACAGTAAACATTAATTTATTATTTGATTACAATTAACATTAGTTTATTATTTGATTACAATTAGCATTAGTTCATCATTTGATTACAGTTAACATAAGTTTATTATTTGATTACAGTTAACATTAGTTTATTGTTTGATTACAGTAAACATTAGTTTCTTGTTTGATTACAGTTAACATTAGTTTCTTGTTTGATTACAGTTAACATTAGTTTCTTGTTTGATTACAGTTAACATTAGTTCATTGTTTGATTACATTAAACATTAGTTCGAAACGTACTGCTAACAATGCTACTTAAGTAATTTATTCATGTTGTACGTGTACTTACTCCTAAACACCAAATCTAGAGACTCTTTTGAAATTTGTTTAAACCTATTTTCTACAAAATGTCGGATGAAAATGGAAGATTATTTTGCGTTTAATTTCTTCAAGTAATGTACAATACTATTTATATTGTCATGGTACACTAATGAGTATACAGGATCACAAGATACCATTGATCAGGTTGTGCGTGACGGCCTTGGGAGATTAAACTTACATTCAATTCCCAAAAATTATATGAAATTGATGTATTTTTCTGCGTTAATGACCTAATCAAAACATTATAATGGGTTAGCGTAGGCCACAAGCTGAAATCGTGCGCTTTATTCAAGAATAGTTCGTCAAAGTTACAATGAGTTTGGCATTTTTGTCTTGGCTAAATATTTGTCACAGAGACACAGAGAAGCTTGAGAATAATACAGAGGTTGTTGATGTATAGGAGAAAAACTTGCTGTTTTTATTTAATTCCTACTTTGTTGAATTAAGTATTTCGTCATAAGAAGCTAGCATGTGATTGGCTGAATTCAGTATCCTTCCCGTATTTATAGGTAGTTGACAAAATGTGATGCGTACTGATGACTTAAGGATGAATGACTCTCTGATGTTAAGATAGATAACTCCTCATTGAAAGACCACCGTTTCCTTTAACGTTTTCATCTTAAAAAAAATAATGATAACGTGTCAATTTTCTCCAGTAGAGTTCTTTAAAAACAAATTCATTTTAATCTCAATTTCCTGGTAGACAAAATTGTCATAAAAATTCATTTTAATCTCAATTTCCTGGTAGAAAAAAAATGTCATAACTGCAGATTTAAGAGTTCCATTTAAGTGAGTGGAGATTTGTTACGTGTAAAATTAAAACATTGATCATAAAAAGAAATGAAATCATATTTATCTAGCTGTTTATTTATTTGATTTAATATATAGATTATTCATTGTTCGAAAGAAAAAGTATATTGAGTGTTGTATTGTGTTTTCATAATGAATGTGTTTGTGTTGGTCTGCACATTGTAATTTTACCCACCTGTTTTGAATTCTAAGTGACAAAATTAAATTGTCCAAATTTGCTGGTTATTCAAAATAAAATATTAAGGCTTGTTAGGCCTAGTCTGAAAATTCCATTCTTACAACAGTTAGCCGACTGCATATACATGTATATGGTCAAGAAAATCTCAGTGCCGTAACTTTATAAACGTTTTTGAATTTAAACAAGGCTTTTGATTTTATCGAACCTTATATCTTACCTATGAATGAAGATATACTATGCTGATTTACAATAATTTAAAGGTTTCAGTCACATTTAAATAACGGAACAACTGCCGTTCGGAAATTTTATATTGAATAACCTAAATATAATGCATTGGTTGTGTATCTTCAAGTGTGTACAAATTAAACGGAATCCGGGGCCTCATTAAGGATCCAAAATATACAGAGGAACATAGAAATCGACTACTCCCTTCAATGAAAGTATGTTAAGCATGCATTTTTTTTATTTCAAAGTTCAGTATTAATTATAATTCCTGATGTACTTTTGTTTTGAACATATTATCTGGTATCGTTGATCTTGGCATTGGACGTTTACTTACATGTACGCGGAAGGATTTTAGTGAAGATTTATCATGGAGAGTAATATTTGAGCTAACTGTGTCGCAAGCTACGACTCACGTGTCATTCTCTGTTGTGTACCTTTCAAATGGTAAGTTCTTCAGTTGGGTCGAAAAAGATAATGCTAAACTCAATTTCAGATTTCTGCCGCTGTGTTGTTGATTTCATTTGCAACATAACAAATATACTACACGGGTTGATTTCCATGTCGTTGCAATGCTTATGACACATAAATATGTTTTTAATTATTTGTTCTTGTTTTACAACGTCCTGTGTCCACAGATCCCTGTTTAAATTCTTTGCACACAAAAATATCTTATTTTTTTGCGCCTCGGTATCAGTGACGCTATAGAATGTAACTATGTTTGGTTACTTCAACCAAAGAGTCCAGTTCTGATAATCTGAGCATTATCACAAAATTTCTACTATCAGTCAGCCTTGTTTCACTTTGTTGATACAAGGAAGCCCCCATCTCTCTCTCTCTCTCTCTCTCTTTGGTATGCAAAATTAAGCTTCCCATCCCGTCCAACATTTTTGTTTACAGTTGATAATTGCTACTTGGGTTACATATATACATGTATTCAATATATATTGACTGCACAATGCCTTCATACTGGCTGCTTTTTCTTTTGTACATCTATAAAGTTGTCTTCCTGTAGTCTATTCCTGCAGTACACCATGCATTTCTTTATTCCAGGACATATACAATGTGCTATAATGGGCGTTAGTAATTTGATAAAGGGATGTATCAAGGGGAATTTGGTTGAATATTGTCTGATTCTCCTGGTTTATCTTGTTCAAGCAACCACTTTTCCAATTGATGATTTCAATAACCAGCTTCGATTCTGTTACAAACTCTTTAATTTTCTTTTCTTTTTAGGATTGCACTCTGTCGCTCTTCGAAACAAAGGGTGGGAAAGGTGTAGGAAATGTCTACAGTCTTCATTATGTACAAAATTGAATATTTTTTTCAACATTATGTTTAATGCAGAATATTTAATATAAACATAGTTTGAAGTTGCTCCAATCAATTCTTTTCTACAAACTCTGATAAATCACTCCATTCTAAAAAGGAAGAAAATGTGATTTCAGGAAATGAAAATAAAAATTTGATTCAATTTTAGTCAGACTTTTAGTGGGATCGATGCTTTAAATACAAAGCCAAGCAACTCAACAGTCATTGTTGTTCTTGTTTTATCATGAAAAAGGAGAAGATAACAAACTGCAATAGATATTTTAAAAAAAATCTACAAACAACAAAGCTGTGAACAGGGCATAAAACACAGATCCCCGGAAATTCGAGAGGTGTAGAGGTGTGATAAGGTGTCTAGGAAGAGAAAACAACCTCTGTCGACCGGTCATCCCCGGCATGATTCCTATGCATCGATCAGGTAGACGAGATATTCCGTAGTCAAGTATAAAAACAAAGGCCTAATAATTGGTATAAAACGTCAGCCAAAATACAACCCAGTGATAGGTTATATTTGCTAATAACGACCATAGAATTTACGAAATGCTGACTTTGGACGAGGTTGTTGAAATTCTTGTAACACCAACTTATCTGTCAGTAGCCTGCCTCGGTTTAAACTTGATCTTACCCGGAGTATGCATTTGAGTATCGAATTCGAATAAGTTGGGAGACGTAAACACGATATGCAGGTGATAGTGGAATATTACTACATATATAAGGGAAGTTGACGATGGAAAGTCATCTCGTTTGTCATGAAATTTAGTTGGCCCTTATCGTCTATAGTCAGTGAAACATCCAAATATGAAACAGATGTGTCAGAATCTGTGGAATCTTTCATTTGGAGTTCAAAGGGATATATCAAATCAACGTAGGAATGAAAATGAATATTGTTAATTGATAAATCATAAGCAAGAGACTTCTTTTCAAGTTTTTGAATAAATTCTGCTTCATAGGAATATAAAAACTGGTCGGCTTACAAAGGAGCACAGTTACTTATAAAGTGACAGTTTACTTCAAACATGTAGAAAGACTCTATCACCACACGGCAAGTTAACGGGGTAGAGTAATCTTTGAATGAACCAGTGTATATTAGACGGTTTTATATACTAGTATATATATTTACTATGCAGTTATGATATGTTACAAAAAAGATAATAGCTGACCACGTGAGTCTCAACTCACGGATTAGGTTAAAAAGATTAAAAGAAAACCTCCTATCTCGCAATTGCTGTTATATAATCTGATACGTGTACATAAAAGAGTGTTTTGTACAGATTGAGGGGTTTTTCACCATCCATACAGATAGATTTTATATAATCTGATACGTGTACATAAAAGAGTGTTTTGTACAGATTGAGGGGTTTTTCACCATCCATACGGATAGATTTTATATAATCTGATACATGTACATAAAAGAGTGTTTTGTACAGATTGAGGGGTTTTTCACCATCGATACAGATAGATTTTATATAGTCTGATACGTGTACATAAAAGACCGTTTTGTAAAGGTTGAGGTTTTTTCGCCATCCATCTTCAACCATGGGCATTTTTCTTTGCTGATCCGTTCATGTTCTTTCCCTCAAGATGCACAAGCTTGCTTATGGTAGTTCTCCATTCAGTAAGCATGTTATGATTCACTTTAAAAAGACCATCAAGCAGATAGACGAATAGCGACGTGCACAAATACTCCGACGGAAGCATCCCAATCACCTTTTTTTATTGCTGTTCATTTTACCACAGAAAATGTTAGCGTATAATCTTGATTATTCCATTTATATTTTCAGATTGTGGAGTAGCTGGGAGCTTTCATTGGTGGAATAAAGATATCATCACTTGGATTTCGATGTTGTGAAAGTTCTGACAATCATGAACACAAGTTCTGGAAAGTTAAACTCACAAACATTTTCTGATTTACAGAATAACAGTCCTCCAGATTTACAGAATAAAGAAAATCATACTGTGAAATTTACCGCTGGTGATTCTGTCCAGTTAAATAAGTTACCTTTGCTTTGCAGAGGCACAAATCGTCATCACTTGAAATCTGTGAAACGGCGGCTTGTGTACAAAAATGGTGAGGTGAATGTAACACAAATACACATACGTAAACGTCGCCGCCGATTTCTAATTGATATTTTTACAACTTTGGTTGATATAAAATGGAGATACAATTTATTACTTTTTCTATTGGCTTTTATTTTAAGCTGGCTCACATTTGCAGCAATTTGGTGGTTGATCTGTTTTTCACATGGAGACTTAGACCATCAACTGAAAAACTCAAACCACATACCATGTGTGAAAGAAATACACTCTTTCACATCAGCATTGCTGTTTTCGATTGAGACACAACATACTATAGGATATGGTTCCAGACACACAACAGAGGAATGTCCAGAGGCCATTACTGTAATGATGATTCAGTCGTGTTTCGGGGCTATATGTCAAGCTTTGATGACTGGGATCGTATTCGCAAAGCTTTCTCGACCGAAAAAAAGAGCAGAAACACTCATGTTCAGTAAACACGCATGCATCTGTAAGCAAGATGGAGAGTTATGTTTACTCATAAGGATTGGAGATATGCGAAAATCTTGCCTTGTAGAGGCTCATGTCAGAGCTGTTCTGATAAAAAAGAAAATAACGGAAGAAAACGAGGTCCTGCCTCTCTTTCAGTTTGATGTAAATTTGGGATTTGATGATGGAAGTGATAGAATCTTTTTAATAAAACCAGTAATCATTAGCCATATTATCGATCAAAAAAGTCCATTCTGGGAAATGTCTCAAGAGGACCTGCAGAGAGAACAGTTTGAGTTGATAGTCATTTTGGAAGGTATTTTGGAATCCACTGGAATGACTATCCAAGCCAGAAGTTCTTATCTTCCAGGGGAGATACTGTGGGGACACAGATTCGAACATTTGGATACATTTCAAACAGAAACTGGACAATATCAAACTGATTTTTCTCGTTTTGACAATACCACACCTGTGGACATACCTCTCGGCAGTGCTAAGGAACAAACAGAAGATGAGGAATCCTCACAAGATTCATCTGTAGACCAACCCGGATGAATAAGATGCCAAAGAACTCTATATTACAAAGCCTTTTTAAATTAGGTATACCGATAATCATTTAAATATGGCGCTGAGAATTGTACAAAGATGCATCGCAGAGTCCAGTGTTCTTTCAAACCCGTCTTTACTTCTCGCTGCTGTAAAGGAGAAACTTCAGAACTACTGTGCGACAACATATTCAAAAAATTGTATTCTTAAAGACATCAAAATACTTTAAGAAAACTTAAACATTTTTTTGGTCAAAAATCGACATTATCGAAACGTATGGCTTTTCAACATATCATACAACCATTCCTCATGATAAATTATAAAGACAAGACTTTTAATTTTGACATCATAGACAACTGTTTCTCCAATAAAATTGGAACTCCGAAAACTTCATATCTTATGATTGGTCACCTAGAAAATTGTTAGAAATCAGTCTGATTCCACACACAAGAACTCTGAAGTTTATATTAAATTCTTATAAACAACATCTATGTAGTCTTTTGATAGGAGGTCTTCCAACAATCTGTTAGAATTTACAAAGGCACAAATTGTGCTCCTTTATAACGTAGTCAACCTGTTTTTGTATCTTATACAACAGAATTCATTCAAAAACCGCATAGAAACTTCATAGAAAAAAGTTTGTTTAATACTAAATGAATCAAAATTATGGCATAAATTGCAAGTAAACAGAAAACTGTTATGTGATTTAGAAATTTGATATGTCTACGGGGCGCTGTTTAGAATTTTTAAGGTATTTTTTCATACGAAAAATTCTGTATTTAAAATATTTTTATATGAAAAAAATCTTTTTCTGATACTAGAAAAAAAAATTTGTGATGTTGGAAAATAAACGATATTTTTGTGATATCAAAAATTCCGTTCTAAGAAAATGGCTAGATTTTTTACCTTAAAAAAATCGAATTATTTAACAAATATTACTGTTCAGGCTTTTAGATAAAGTCAATTCTCCTTTGACCTGACAATTAAAATTGTACCTATATTGTTTTCTCGTCAAGTTTTATGCATAGTTACAGTATTGAGGATTAGGGCTACAACAAGTTTTTTTCAAATTCTGTACTCCACATAAATCCAATTTTTCTTAGGGAATCCAAGTTTACGTTTTCTACGTTTAGGTTCCGGTCACGTGATGGTCTGTGCTTGACCAAAAATTTTTAGCTCCGCTGCTTATCTTAAAAACTTTATTTCTTTGTGGTTTTAAGTGTGTCAAATGTTGTGTAAAGGAATCTGATGTTCAATCTGGTGAGTGTTACATAAGTTTTGGATTTTTTTCAATACGTATACAACCGCCCTATTTAAATTTAAGACTTTCTTTGTTGTGAACTCGTATTCACCTCACAATGGCTGATAAAGCGGGAGCTGGAAAAAAGACACCAGACAAAGAACAAAAACCAAAAAAATTAGTTCAGTTAGATTTGAAAGCGGCACCTATGTCCGTCAGAAAATCTATTGTGTCTGAGAAGGCTGCGGCGAAAAAACCTAGAACTAGTAGTGGAGATCACACCCCTAATCATGATAACAGTAAATCAGAACAGCATGACGAAATCGCTTGCGATCTTAGACAAATTCAAGACAGTCTTTCAGAAATTAGAGACTCAATGGTTAAGAAATCAGAAGTAAAACTTTTAGTCTCGGAAATCTTGTCAGAGTTGAAAAATGAACTGAAAGGTGAGATAAAAAAAAGAAATAATCACAGAGATGAAGGAGGATTTTGAAAGAAATATTAAAAACACAGTTAAGGAAGAATTTGAAGAAAAAATAAAGAAAACATACAAAGAATTTGAAACACAAACAAAAGAGATCTCTGACGGGTTTAACCTCGATTTCGACACCCTTCGAGAAAAACTCAGTGCCCAGGCGAGTGAAATTAGATCTTTGAAGGAACGACTAAGAAAATGTGAATCTATAGCAGGGTCAGCTATCACCCTCGCAAATCAAAATCAACAATATTCACAGAAAAGTAATATTAAATTTACAAACTGGGCAGAGGAGAAAAATGAAAATCTTAGACAAAAACTATGCACAACGCTAAAAGAAGTGGTGGATGTTGACCTTGACCCCGCCGATATCCTGGCCATTCATCGTATCCCGGGGGGAGATGGAAAAGGACCACGTCCTGTCATCGCAAAATTCCGCAACAACGACATCAAAGTCCATGTTATTAAAAACAGATCTGAGAAAAATCTAAAAGACATCTTTATTATGCATGACCACTTAACACAAATGAACGCTAAACTAGTGCGCGATTTGAACAATGATCCGAGAATTCACAGTGCCTGGTATTATAATGGAAAAGTGTTTGCTCTGGACGGAGAAGGAAACCGCCACAAATTCGATATTCTGGACAATGTGTCTGAAAAACTGAAAGGATACTGAATACAATTGTTCAAATGTGCAGCGGAGCGGACCTTGTTTCGACACCATTTGACTGTGGGATCGGGCTCGTTTGACTGTGAGATCGGGCTCACTATACTATAAATTAAATCATGTTTACTGTTTGTGTAAGTTAGTCTTGTCCCATGATCCCTTGCACTTCGTTATTAGTCTTGTCCCATGATCCCTTGCACTTCGTTATTAGTCTTGTCCCATGATCCCTTGCACTTCGTTCCAATAACGAAGTGCAAGGGATCATGGGACAAGACTATGTGTAAGTGTGTTGGTGAATGTGTGCATATTCCCCTGTTTTTCTATTACCAATATGTGCTTCGATTATCTGAAAAGATGGTGCCTATCACTTTTTATGATTTCTATTTTATTGCTTTTTTCTAAATTGCTACAAACTAAATAAGTGACTCAATTAAAATAGCAACGGTGAATTGTCAAGGTTTGGCAACAGGTACCAAAAGGCAGGATGTTTTAAATTATTATAAGAAAAAGGGCTATTCAATTCTTTGTTTTCAGGATACTCACTTTACAAAAGAAATAGAACCTTACGTTGAAACACAATGGGGATATAAATGTATTTTCAATTCGTACAAGTCAAACTCAAGAGGGGTATGCATTCTGTTTAATAACAATTTTGAATTTCAGATTCACAGGGAGAAACAGGACATTAATGGTAATCTGTTAGCTCTCGATACGACAATCGAGGATAATAAAGTTACTTTAATTAATATCTATGGACCAAACACAGATAATCCAGAGTTTTATGAGTTAGTAAGAGAAACTTTATTAGAGCTTGACAATGATTATTTTATATTATGCGGTGATTTTAATTTGGCTCTTGACCCATCAATAGATACAGAAAATTATTGTAACATTAACAATCCAAAGGGGAGAGAAAAACTTTTAGAAATTATGAATGATTTACAAATAGTTGACTATTTCAGGATTTTGAATCCAAACTTAAAAATGTTTACTTGGCGGAAGAAAAATCCAGTGAAACAAGGATGTTTAGATTATTTTTTAATTTCTGAAAATATGTGTAATTTGGTTGAAAACTTAGCAATTAAACCAGGGTACAGATCGGACCACTCATCAGTGGTTCTTGATATAAAATTTAATACCTTTAAGAAAGGAAAAGGTCTCTGGAAATTTAACAACTCTTTACTTACAGACATAACATATGTTAACAAGGTGAAAGAAACAATAAAGTCTATTAGAAAACAATATGAAAAGAATAATGTGCTTATAGATGATATGGATAACAGTACATTTCTTGAAGTCCTCTTAATGGAGATTAGAGGAATTACAATCTCATATTCGTCATATAGAAAGAAAGAAAAAGATAAAGAAGAAGTCTTGTTAATTGCACAAATAGAGAAATTAGAGGCAGAGAATATATTGAATCTACAGTTAATAGAAGAGAAAAAAACAAATCTTGAGAATTTGAGAAAAGAAAAGCTACAAGGTCATGTTATAAGGTCTCGAGCCAGATGGGTTGAAGATGGAGAAAAGCCATCTCAATACTTTTGTAAACTAGAATCCTGTAACTATTTAAATAAGATTATCAAAAAGATTAAAACAGACAACGAGGTAATTTACAATCAATCAGAAATTTTAAACAGAATTAGGATGTATTACAAATCACTGTATACTTCTGCAGACGCAGAACTTCTCGATATAGATCTGGCAGAAATTATTACAGTTACTGAGGTTCCAAAACTTGATAATCATGTTGCCAAATCACTTGAGGGAAATATTATGGAAAATGAAGTCTTACAGGTGTTAAAAAATATGAAAAACAATAAATCACCGGGAAGTGATGGTTTCACTGCTGAATTTTTTAAATTTTTTTGGTCAGATTTGAAACATTTAATAGTACCTGCCATAAATGATGTATTTCAGAAAAAGGAACTCCCTATCTCTCAAAGACTAGGGATAATTACATGCTTACCAAAAGGTGATAAGCCAAGAGAATTTCTGAAAAATTGGCGGCCTATTACACTTTTAAATGTGTTTTATAAACTTATATCAGGTTGTATTAGTTATAGAATAAGATCCACCCTGGACAATATTATATCAAATACTCAACTTGGCTTTTTAAAAGGAAGATACATAGGTGAAAATACCAGATTTCTTTATGATCTTATGGCTTACACTGAATCTAGAAATATACCGGGGTTGCTTGTACTTATAGATTTTGAAAAAGCTTTTGATTCAATATCCTGGACCTTTGTGTATAAAGTATTAGAATTTTTTGGATTCGGTAAAAACATTATTGAATGGGTAACAATTTTAAATACAGAATTTTGTGCATCTGTTCTTCAATGTGGATTTTTATCTGAACAGTTTAATATCCAAAGAGGATGTCGTCAGGGAGATCCTGTAGCACCATATCTGTTTCTTCTTTGTGCAGAAATTCTTGCAATAATGATTAAACAAAATCAAAGCATTAAAGGAATTGTAATTAACAAGACAGAGCATAAAATATCTCAATATGCAGATGATACCTGGCTTGCCCTTGATGGTTCACCTGAATCACTTTTTGCAGCATTAGATACAATTGATTTTTTCTCAAAGTTCACAGGACTTAAAATTAACAGCTCAAAAACAAAAATTGTTTGGATAGGTTCAAAAAAATTCTCTAATCAAGTTTTTCACCATTCTCGTTGGAAACTTGAATGGGGTTGCACAACTTTCAATTTACTTGGAATTAATTTTTCAGTAGAACTAGATAAAATTATTGATATTAACTATAATGTTCAAATACCAAAAATCAAAGCATTAATTCAACAATGGAGAAGAAGAATTCTTACTCCTATTGGAAGAGTCACGGTGCTGAAAACATTGATTTTACCAAAACTTAACCATTTTTTTATATCCTTACCAAATCCAAATAAAGAAACCTTGTCACTATTGAACAGAGAAATATTTGAGTTTATATGGAAATCAAAATGTGATAAAGTAAAAAGAAAAATTATTACTCAA